GAGCTGCTTTGCTATGAAGGCAGGAGGTGGGGGTGGGGAAAGGGGGTGGTTCTGGCAGGGGTCTTTGGGTGGGGGTAGGGGTGGGGCAGGAGCACCGCTCTGCCCTGTCAGGGCTTTTGGGGGTTTCGGAACCTTAGACTCCTGCTCTCCTGGATTGGTAGACTTTAGCACCGATCGAAGTATCTGGATGGAACCTTTGAGGCCCGGTGGTCCAGCCTGGTCCCCATCTCCTCCCTCCCCAGCCACATTGTACAAACACGGAAACTGAAGCCCCGAGGGAGACGGGGAGCAGCCTGAGGTCACACGGGGAGTCAGAGCTGAGTCCGGAATGTGCGGCCGGCTCCCAACCTGACCCCACAGAGGCCTCCTATTCGTGAGACATGGTGTGGACTTGGTCGGCTCGGCCCGTGCCAGAAGAGGAGGCTCTGGCGCTCCGGCTGGGGAAGTAGAGCGTGGTGAACCAGCCGAAGATGAAGACACCTGTTGGGAAGGAGAGGGTTGTTACGGGACGCGCGCCAGCAGGGAGAAGCGGGAAGGTGGCAGGTGGAAAAATTACAGTAAGCACAGGAACCGATAGAAAAGTCAAAACGCCGTGTGGGCTTAAAAGGAATTTACAACTCAAACTTGAAGCAACCATAGACCTATTGAGACGCGTTCAAGTGTACTAAGGACCGTCGGGTTTGGGAGGAAGAGAGATGTACTGAGGCCCTCACACGCAGTTGAGACAACTCAGTAGAGTGAAGAAGTGTTCAGGCTTAAATATTAAGGGTGACCTCTGGAAGAATAACGACACAGTCTAGTTTCAAGATGCGTTCCTCCCCAATCCCGGGATGTCCTGGATGTGGACTTATGATTCTTCCCCCGGGGACCGTCTATGTCCCCCACAAGCATTAGCTTGGTTACTCATCACAAAATCTGGTGAGAAAAATACCAGCGTTGTCCCAGCTTGAAAGATGATCAGAGATGAGCCTGGGTGGCTCAGATGGTTAAGCATCTGCCTTCGGCTCGGGTCTTGATCCCAGGGTCCTGGGATCGAGTCCCACATCGGGCTCCCTGCTCCTTGGG